ATATTTTTAATTTATATCATTTTAATCACGTAGATTAGAAAAATTCAATAAATAAAGGAAAGAAACAAGCTTAGGCAAGCATCTTCGCTTTCTTTCCGGGATTAAGTGCGTGTTTGGTGCAGTTGATGAGAAGTGCTTTTGAAACTTAAAAGCTCCAACTACACCAAACAACCAAACTTTTGGGATTTACTTTTACTGCTGGGAAGCTGATATGAGCTTCAACCTTTCGAAAATGAAGAAGCACCGAACTTTTGGAATTTACTTTTACTGCTGGGAAGCTGATACGAGCTTCAACCTTTTGAAAATGAAGAAGCACGAATTGGAAGCTTTTGCGCGTGCTTCTCGCTTCACTTTAATGAAATTTACCAATTATACTTATTTTACCCTCATATTTTACCAAATTTACGATTAAACCACTAGATATATACAGTTAAATCCCTCATTTTGTGTCTCCCTCTGCCGATGGGTCCTCTCTTTTCATCTTCTCCATTTGCCGCAAAAACCTCCCTTTCTCTCTCTTCACTACCCACAATCCTCATTCCCCAGTTCGCTACTTCTTGGGGGGTTTTGTAGAGGTTTTCTCCTACTCATTTCATTCGACTATCCAATTTCTTTACAAAAGAAAGATAGCAAGAATAGACTGAGGGACTGAAAGAAGGAGATGGGTTCTCTGCAAGATGTGTCAAGGAAAGGAAATAGAGGAAAAGACGAGGGAGAAAAGGTAGAGGAAGAGCCAATATTGAAGCAGCAAAACCAGAGGTTTTGCATGTTTCCCATTAAGTATCAGCCCCTTTGGTAGATGTACAAGAAGGCTGAAGCCAGTTTCTGGACCGGTAATTCCTTTCCTTTTGTCTTGTATCTCATAAATTTTGCCCCTTTTTTGTTTTAGTTCTTGTTTCATCATTTTTTTTTTTTAATTTCTAGAGTTCTGTTGTTGTGTTTCTGTGTTCTAAACTAGTTGTGGTCATAGCAATTTCTCATATTTATAGGAAAGGAATGGAATTTTTAGTTAATTCACGGTTTGGGGTTGAATAAGAAGCATTATTATTGAAAGTGGGTTCTTATATTTGCATCTTAAAGTTGTATTCAGTGTATTATATTATTGCATTGATGTTAACATCGGTGTTACAAGTTGAGATTTTGAGTTTTGGGTTTTTCTTGTTTTTATTCCAAAATGGTCACTGCTATTGAGGGCTCTCGAAGGCTCATCTCAGATCAATTTTAGAATTTCTTAGCCTTCTTTTTTGTTGTGATTTCTCCGATTTTGGAATAAACTTGGATTAATTGATTTTGTCTGTGTAGTATGCTCGTAGTGGCAACTTCAGGGACTGGATATGTGCTGGGGAGTGGAAATGCCATTGATTTTGCGGTTGGATTTGTGTTGGAACAATGATGGTTGCTAACTCCTTGAATCAGGTACGATGTTTTACTCTTTACTGACTTGTTATTTGCTATCTTGGAACCTTTGGTTGTCATGCTCCAGAGTAAGTTCTCAACTGCTTTCTCAACTTCTTGCTTGACCTCTGCTTAAGTATAATCATATAAATATAATGCCTGTTTTCCTTACAATATGGAGTTACTTCATAAATGAAGTCTTAGGCATCCCTCGTGAGAGATAGCCAAGCATGAACCATAAGCATATAAGCTTCCTGTGACAATCGAACACTGATCTAACTTCTGGAGTTTCAAATGACAGATTCACAATGACTGGAGCACTGACTTTCAAGAGTGATGGTTATAGTTTAGGGGTTATCCTTTTGGAGCTCTTAACTAGACGTAAATCTGTTGATCATACACTCCCACATGGACAGTAGAGTCTTGTGACATGGGTATTCTAGCAAAATTTTCCTTGGCAATTTTTCACTAGTCTATATTTGCAACGTTCATGCTGGCTGATCCTTGCATGGTTGACTGTTAGGCAGCTCCACAACTTAGTGAAGATAAAGTGAAGCAGTGTGTTGATGCTAGACTACTTGGAGATTACCCTTCAAAGGCACTTGCAAAGGTGATAAAGATAATGTTCCTGGCTATGAACTTGCATTTACCTTTATCTTGCTAATCATTCAAAACATGTTATTCTTCCATGAACTAAGTTTTGATGAAATCAATACTTGTTTCTTAGTTTGCTACTGCGGCCACATTTTGCCTGCAATACGAAGCTCATTTTCGGGAGCATTGTAGTCAAAGCTCTCCAGCCTTTTTTGCACACTAGGCCCACTGTCCAGGGTAAAATGCAACATCCATAAATTCCACAGTGACTTGCCTTCCGGTCTTTGCTAAATCTGACGTTATGATTTGTTCTGTAAATTGATGCTTTTGGATTTCCATTGTTTTAAACCTTGGAGATTTTATTTGTCTTGTCGTTGTAGTTCTAGTTTGACTCGAATGATTTGAGGCGTGATATTTGAATGATTTGAGGCATGTTGTTACCGATTTTTATTTTTATTCTCATATTTATAAAATTTAAATGTGGCATGGTTTTTTTTTAATGAT